GGAAACCCCCACAACCGGAAAGGGCTCCCCCCAATCAGGTGGAAAACGTGTTCCCCCACCTCCACTCTGGCAAAAATAGGGCTAAAGGCTGGGGGCAAAAACCAAGAACCCGCTGCCCTCTGGGATGGTCGGCCTTTTCAAACTTTTTGCTGGGGGCCAAAAGTAAGGCAAAACTTAAGATACGGAAAAGCTGGCCAACAATTCCCTTCTTTCTTTCATACTCCCCCGGCCCAAACCCAGGATAAACTGGCGGGACCCCCCCAAATCCCGGATAAAACATTCTTAAGGGCCTTCTCGGATGCACCCGGGCAAAGGCGTGGAAAGTGAGAAATGATGAGAAAAAAACTCGGAAGACCCCTCCTCTTCGAACAAAGGGAAACCTTCTGGCACCAAAAACCAACCGGGTCTCGGGGTATCTCACACTCAGGGTCGGGATAACAACCGTTCAAATCCTTCTCAACCCCCACCGGAAGTCTTCTCACCGAAAGCGGGATTTTTTTTCTAACCCTTTCCAGATTCACCCCTTCTTTGGAGCCTTCTAAAAACACTCGATTCAACAAACAGGTATTGTAAAGGCTGTGGCCAACAACCAGAGAAAGAAAAAACCAAAGCGCGCCCTCAAACGGGAATTCCGTTAAAAGTAAAAAATCCCAAAAATCCCCAAAAAGTGCCCACCCCCAACAATCCTCCCATTCTCGGGATGGGCCTATACTAGCTTATGACCACCACCCAACAAGGTTTCTGCTTAAGGCAAATCGGCCCCACCAAACATTGGGCCTTTCCCGATGAAATGCAAATTTCAAAGGTTTTTCATAAATCCTCTTATGAAACCCCCATTCCAACCTCCCCCCTTCTTGGGGGGCCTCAAGTTCAAAAAGGCTTTTCTGTTGAAACCAAATATTTTTCAAAACTCTTATTGATCCGAAAGATTACCTCAAATCCTTCTTCACATTAAAAGATAAATTTGGCCTTCCAAAATCTTCAAGGGGCCAATAGAATCACAAGCTGGCCTAACTCTAGATTCATTGCGTGGGATAATTCTGGGCTCATGAAATTTTTTCCAAAAAACTGAACATGAGGGCCAATAAAAGGGCAACCATTTCCCCTCCTGGCATTAATAGCCAACAAAACCCCAGGAAAGACCCCTTTTCCCTCGTGAGGGGCCGGTCACAAATTAGACTGGTATTAAACCCAACCCCTTTCTCTGGGGAATATTTTTTTCAATACTGGGGAGGCGGTGGGTCCAAGGTTCCTAAAAACCTTTCAAAACTCCCTGGAAACGGACCTTTTCCACAAGGGGTTCTTCAAACTTTCCATACAAAAAATTGGAAAAAACTCCCCTTCCGAAAAAAGCCCAAAACATAAAGGTCAAACCAAAGGCGGGAAGGGGCTAAATATGGGAGAAATTTCCTTTTTCCACAAACCCGACGGTAATACCCAGCTAACCAGCAAAAACTGCGGATTTCAAACACACTCTTAGGCTGTGCCCAATCTTGCACTTGCCTCAGTCTTGGATGTAGTTCAACATTACACTCCTTCCCCAGAAACTACATGGCCTAAGAACTTGACCTCTTCTT